CACAGCCACGGGACTGCCCCCAGTCCCCTTGGCACCTGCTTTACAAGCACAGGCAGAAATCCCACTGTCCCCTTCCTCCCCTGCTTCCCACCCTGGAGCAAGAGGTGCCAGTATAGCCCTTGTCCACACAACCTGAACCCTGGGAATCCCCTGGGATGGAGAAGGCATCAGCAAGTGAGGCAAAGCCCACAGCGTGGGCTTGCGTGTCCTCTGTTTCTAGCAAGAGAAGCAGACACCCCACAGCCATCCCTTTAGCTCTTGTCTTCACTTACCCTGGACAACTGCTGAGTCTGTGCGAGATGAAGCTGCATTTTGATTCAGTGTGGCAGACAGCTATTTAAATTGGTGTTTTCACAGCTTTATGCCCACTGGTAGAAAAAAAAACCCTTTTTGTAGCTTGGGAAAATCTTTGGAGGAGGCCACTAATCTCTGCTCTTCACCACAGACTTTCCTGCTTTTTAATACCAGAGTTAACTCTGTGCCATTTGGAGATCAAACCAGCCATCTCAAAATTGTAAGCAACATTGTTACAGCCCTTGTCCAGGAAAAGGACCTCTTCCCACTGCAGACCCCTAACCCAGGCCAGGCAAAGCAACCTCTCCAGCCTCAGAAGACCTTGGACCCTGCTGGACCCCTATGGAATTGGGATCGTGGTGTGGTGTTCACTGCAGTGGAAACAGATACTGAGCAGATGTTGTAGCCACAGTATTTCCTATGAGCTCCAGAAGTTTTTTTTTTCCTTCAGATACAATCCCTTAGGAAGTGCCTTTCAGCAGCATCCAAGGATTTAACTATCAGCAAAGCTTAACATAGCAATAGATGCAAACATTTTTGTACACTTCTCTCTCCAATGCCTACAAACAAAACAAACAAAACATAATTAAAGATAGGTTTACACGCAGTTAGGTATAGTAGAATAGATACAGATTAGTAGGTATTTATAAAGGAGGACAGACGCAGGTTATTTTCAGAATCATACATATTTTGGCCATACTAATATCGCCCATATACTTTTCACCCTTCATTTGTGCCATGGATCACATCTTCAGCTATGTTTGCATAGCTGAAGTCACCTTATCAGTGAGGACCAGATATGGCCTTTGGAAAAAAGAAACACAAGACATACTGCTAGCAGCAAATTTACTCCTTATCAATGCTAGTTCATTCAAAAATCCCATAGCAATCCATAAGATCTGTGATGTGGAATGGACTATAAAGCTTGTCCCATCTTTCAAGCTAAAAATCTCTTTCTCTTATTATATATGCTAATCATTCATAATGGGGCATTTGTACAGTGTTTCTATAAGGTTGTGTAAAACATATTTTATATTTGCAATAAAAAATGTCAACATTAGGGTGACAATCTAAATACCCTTTCTATAAAAGCATCATTTTTTCTTTGAGGTGTACATAAAATCTCCATTAATATTTATGGAAATTATCTTCATGAAGAGCAGAATAAGCTTTTAAGTGCATTTGGTAAATTCTTATTAAGAAATGATAAAACATAGGAGCCATGTTTTTAAACTGTGCTAAAATCCAGTTCTTCTGTTGGTTTTAAATTATAATTAACTATACATTTTAAGTGCAAACCCCCAAATAAATTCTGCTCTCTATTACCACAGTGTAGTACTAAGTTCACATACAAGCATATGGGGGCAAATAAAGGCAGAATATGACCTAGGGATCTCTTTCCATTCAGATCATAGAATCACAGAATCATAGAATGCTTAGGGTTGGAAGGGACCTCTAGAGATCATCTAGTCCAACCCCCCTGCATACACAGGGTCACCTAGAGCACGCGGCACAGGACTGCGTCCAAGAGGGTTTTGAAGATCTCCAGAGAAGGAGCCTCCACAACCCCTCTGGGCAGCCTGTTCTAGTGCTCTGGCACCCTCACTCTTAAGAAATTTTTCCTTAAGTTCCTATGGAACTTTTGATGTTTCAGTTTGTGGCCATTACCTCTGTCGGTGGCCCCCAGTGAAAAGAGGCCAGCACCATCCTCCTCACTGCCTCCCTGAGGTACTTATATATGCTGATCAGGTCCCCTTTCAGCCTTCTCTTCCCCAGGCTGAACAGGCCCAGCTCTCTCAGCCTCTCCTTATAGGGCAGATGTTCCAGGCCCCTGATCATCCTTGTAGCCCTGCGCTGGAGATGGTTCAAACAAAACTTTTTATTCCTCTTGCTTGACTATGAGTTATTCAGTAGAGATCTATTATTATTGAATATGGTTTAAATAACTATTCAATACTTTCTGTGTGATTTCTGTGTAATTAATATTGCATATGTTATGCCTGAAAGCATGCAATCCATACTTTCAACTCAGTATGCCAAATGTAAGTTCAGAATTGGAAATAACACTGTAGGCTGTAAAATCCATCCACCACCTTAGAGCAGTGATGTATTCATAAGCAGTCCTCTTCACTTTTAGCAAGCAGGCAAAATAACTGCTTTGCCAAAACTCGTGACTATAGTATGCCAAGCAGCCAGAGAGAAGGTGTTGTACAATCATCACATGCCTAGTTTCAGTCTAACAGTTTCCCATTTCTCAATTTTTGTGATTTGCCATACACTCATTACTCTGATGTTATCCCACTGCCTATCATTTATATGTTAAAATGTAACCTTTGCATCTGTATTTATAGAATGGCAGAATTAAAGCAGATTCTAGAGTTCTTCAAAACTTAAGCTTTCTGTCTCACTGAATCTTCTTTCACTGACTTCTTGTGGGGCATAAAAAATTAAACCATATACAAAGTAATAGTTGATTAATTAAATATAAATTCTCTAAAGTAATGGACATATAGAAAGGAATCTGTTACCTTCCCTAATGGCTCTTAATATATATCAGACATTTCTGGATGCATAATTTACTCATGTGTGTTTTAATTATGCAAGACAAAAATATGTTACATCACCTTCAGATATTAAAAGCCACTAAAGATAAATGAAGAGTCTGTTTTTAGCTGACAAGTTTTAAATGATCTTAGATATGAGTTGCTTTGTATTCTCAAATCATAGAAATGATATAGGGCTTCTAATAAGTACACATATTAATGAGAGGAAAGGAACTAACTCACACAAGATATCTTGTTGTGGATAATAAACAAAAAGTAGCCGAGGTTTGGACACACCTGAAGGAGATAAATTGACTGACAAATATGCAATTTCAATACAGTGAGTATTGAATATAAGCTAATCTCATAAATTGTTAAAGAAGAAGAAAGTTGTTAGCGTGGTGGTTCAAAGGCTGAATTACTCAATAAAGCCAAATAACTGGAAAGGTTTAACTGAAAAAATGCATAGATATTAGGTTTATATAAGTGTGCTCATTAAGAATGATCATGATCTTAAGCAATTAATTGGAACAAGCAATACAGTTTGGGTTGTTTGTCTGAGCTAATTAATACTTCAGACAATATCCTCTAAATAGCTTCAGAAAGAAGACATCAGCTCTTCTTATAAGAACAAATATTTAAATCCATCCCTGATGTAACTTCCCTGCAGTAAGCAGAATCACACCACTGATTAATGCAGGACTTAGTCTTCTCTGGATAGCCTCTGAGTCTTCCCAGAGAAAGAATTATAATAGCTGATACCTTGTTTTTTGTTCTTGGAAAATTTGCAGACAGTGAAAGTACAAGGGAATGACATATCCCACAAGCTGCAGATTTCAAAAGTGAGAAAAAAGGATGAAGGCTTGTACGAGTGCAGGGTGACAGATGCTAACTACGGAGACCTTCAGGAATACAAGGCCCAGGCATTTCTCAAAGTCAATGCTAATAGCCACTCTCGGCGAATGCAAGCCTTTGAGGCATCTCCAATGTGGTTGCAAGACATGAAGCCTCGCAAAAACATCTCAGCAGCTGTTCCTAGTAGCATCCACAACTCTGCCAATCAGCGTGTGCGTGCCACCTCCAGTCCTGAATCGGCAGCCAAAATCCCCAAACAAAGTCCACAATCAGGTATGATAAAGCATTTTGAGCATTTCATTTGATTGCTTACCAGCATGTAAAAGGAGGATAACTCAACAAGATAACCAGGGGCTGTGACTAGGAAGACTATGATGCTCATTTATTCTTCCTTCTTCTGCCCAAGCCTTCCTGGCGTTGCTTTACTTCCTAAGAGACAAAGAATAAGCTTTTGGCCAAAAGAAGTGAACAAACAAACAAACAAAACATTAATTCCCTGTATGTGGCATTCATCTCACCTGGCTTTATCTAAGGACAGGTCTTTTATCTAAATTTAGCATTTCCTGTAATCAGGAGAGACAGAGGGGGGCATATCAAGTGAATGATTCATCCCATTTTAAGATGGCTGTGCATGATAAATGAAATGAAACACCCATAAGGTAGTGTTTATTCCTAGAGCAATTTAGGGTTTTATTTGGGTTTTTAACATTTTTTTTTCTCTTAGGTAAACTTTAGGAAAAGTTTCACAGGGAATGTGCGTTTATCATCTTTAGCAGTATGATATTTGAATCATGCCTTAAAACAGCAATGCATCAACTGTTTGCCATCTAGAAACTGACTACAACTATGACTTGTTTGAAAAATTTCATCATTGTATAAATGACCTATGTTCCTTATCTTTACATTTGCTCCATTGATACAGTACATTCTACAGTCATGCAAAGGTACAGGGATATACCTTTGGAAAACCTTTGCTGTCATACAATTCGCTCCTGTATTATGGCAGCAGTGAGATGAACAGGATAAAGAAATTAGACATGTTGTAATTAATCTTTTTTTTTTTTTTTCTGGAAAACATGTTGTGCAAGTTCAACAACTCTGTCTTCTTTCTGTTTATACTGATGTCCCATTTTAGCAAGCCAAATAGTCACCACCTAGCTTAAAACACATATTGAAAGCTTTTCAGTTTGTTCTGATTCTTCATTTTTCTGTTGGCAAATGCTATGTTAACAAAACCAAAACTGTGAATATGACAAATTTCATAGCACATCTATTGTTAAATCTGTTTTGTCTTATGAGGAAACTATTAGAAAAAAAAAACACTTTGATAATATATTTCATTTACAGAGTGAAACAATCTGATTATTCATATGAAAATTACTTATTGCTATTATAACAGATGACGCACAGATTGTCACCATTTTACCTCTGTATATGTTCACTATTATTATTTAAAGCTTGCAATTAGTTTTGTTTAAACTGTTTTAAAATCATAATTTTACAATGACTCTTCTTTCACAAAAACACATTAAATTCTTATTTTTCATTTGACTCATACATAGACTAAGCCATAAAATGAAAATTCTCCTTTCTGGTCAGTGCTAAGTGAAATCAACTAGTCACTAGTCAACTTAACAGCTACAGATTACATTGAGCAAGTGTGCACACATCAGCTAAGCCATTAAATCACTTGGATATAGAACTGAATTCATAGTATCACTTATGTCTTTGGTCCACCTATGTCTTGCATGATGGGTGACCTGGGCATTTGTTATTTGTGAATTAGTAGGTTGTAACATAGAAAGGTCTTTAACTTGAGGAAATATTACTGTAGATCAAGTACAGGCAACCCCAATGAAGAATTCAAAAATTAAATATATTAAAACATAGTTTATTATTTCATTTTCTGATGTAACACAAACTAATGATGTATTCATCAGAACTGAAATCCACCTCCTGAAGAAACAAAAATTATATCAGGAAAACATATGAGGTTTAATTAGAATTTAACAGTCATTTACTACAGTAATTATTGGTGATATTTTTCTCGAGCAACAGTTTGATTTTCAAAACAAAGATGTGCTTTTCTTTTCCTGAGCAAACCTGGGCCTGGTTTCCCAGCCTTTTCTGATTTTGATTTTACCTGCATTTTACACTCATTCTACACAAGATATAAACACCCACAGAAGCTCCAGGCAGCTGCAAATGACTTGGAGGAACAGTTTCAGATGCGGAAGGAGAAGCATCAGTTGAGACATAAGAAAAACAGAAGGGAGATGGCAAAGATAGGCAAAAATGTTGTGTGTATTCTTTCTGTATATGGTATCCAATCAATGTACCTTTGTTATACTTTCAAAGAGGAAATATCTTTCTTAAAAATTGTTCAAACTACACTTGCATGCTCGAGACCACTTGTGATTAGATTGCACGCTAGAAATATATCCATCCAACCTAGAACACAGAAACAGGGTTTAATATAAAATTAGCATTATTACCCAGACGTTTGTGTTTGAAAGACATAGTAAGTACTGTGATGTGTTTATTCACAAAGAGTAATGCACTGACTTCAGCGATATACTTTGAAAAGAGAAATAGTATTAATCATAGGTAACTATGTCAAATATTTGTCTATATTAGAAAGCCAGTGTATGGTTACTGGCAGACAATACATTTTCCTACCATGTTGACAGATTATTACAAAATCCTTTTTACAGTAGGGGGAAACATGACACTGGGAAATTACTGGTAAAACAGCATTTAGCTATTTCTGAAGAATTTTTACGCAAACATAAGTAGATGGATGTTTTTTTCCCCAAAATTTGTATTTTAAAGATAGATAACAAAATTTAACATTTCCACAACGAGGCACACTACAGAATTCTGCGTAACTCTAATTATTTATCTATACATTTTTGTTAGGTAGCTCTGGAGAAGCAGTGGATAGTCACTGCCATTTTGAACTATCACCATTTGCCAACTGCACAGGTACTTCTGACATTTTCTCACCCAAAAGAGAGAATATCTGTGACAACAATCAAGAGGCTATACAGCCAGGGTTGGCAAATTAACACAATATGAGGTCCATTTTGTGTACTCTGAAAAGTGAGTATCAAAAAGCCTCCATATATATCACTGGAGTAATGGCTATTCAACACAGGGAAAGAAAAAAAAAAACACTCTCCCAAATATTCTTTATATAATATACTGAGAAGCATGAAGCATTACAGGCCTGTCTGAAAGCCAAAGAAGACAAGAAAGCAAAAGTCAAAGCTTATGCAGCTTGACCCTTTCATTTCATATCCATGGACTGCAGTAAATTAAGCCAAAACCGCATAACAGGAATAGGAGTAATATGACAGGCCAATCTGCATATATTCAGAAAATGTCCCATGTAGGTGGAGTGATAAGATGTTTTTCCCCGCATAATTCGTAACAGCATATCTTAATCCAAAGGTAAAAGTATGGAGTTACCACAGGGCCCAGTAACTCTAGGCAGTATTTCAATTAACTGGGATCTAAGAGCTTAAATGAATTCAGTTCAGGTGAAAGGAAGCCAAATAATCTAGAGGCTATGCCAAATCTAGTTGTTTCACGGACATAAATCTAGCATCTCTGCTAGCCGCATTCAAGTCACTCAACATCTGCAGCAACACAAAGGGCTGCGGAATTTGATGTGCTGAGAATGTGCATGTCCCCCTAACTCCTCCTGGTCTACCAAGGCTCTGATAAAGCACTAGAAACCATTAGTTGCTTCTACACTCAGACAGCTTGGGTCTAAAAAACTCAAAATGGAATAGCTGCAAATGAGGATGTGATGTTAGGCCCAATTTTTTGGCTGCTTACATGCAGCAGATTTGCAGTAACCTTTTGTTCTGTCCTAAAGTAACAAATTCAGCCATTGACCTAACTACATGCCTGATGATGGCAGAGTTGCAGTGAGTGACTTGAAAAGCAGCACAAAGGGGAAGAAGGTCTTCACCTAAAATGGAACAATCTGAATTATTGGAAGAATAAACCACATCAACAACGTGTTCATCAGGCATGGATGCAAGAGTCGCTAATACTGATAAAAAAATGACATTCCGTCCAGTCTCCATTTTATCTACAGAATTACAGAATTCAGGAATTCATTATTACCAGTCTATTACGAACATATTTTTATGTCCAATCTGGAATCTTCTGGAATATACAACAACTTTTTTTTTTTTTTTGGTACATCTCATTTTAAAGCCAGTTCACACAGTTCACAAAATCCTTTGAGGCTCTACTCTCTACCAAGAGGAGAGATTACATTACTGTTTACTTCACTAAGAGAGAGACTGTTTTTTGATCTGTTCTTTTAGAAGTTGAGTACCCACAAGGCTAGGAGGTACCACCTGTCTTTACAACTGTCAGACTGCAAAAAGCCCATTTCTGTTTTCTAAAGACTCCATGAAAGCAAAGCAAAATTATAATTTTGTCCTTTTGGTTCTGACTCTTCCTCAGCAGCAGATCTCAGAAATTCTTACAAAAAGATGATGCAAAGAGTTTGATTTTACATCTGTATACATTACAGTCTTTATTTTTTATTTGAAACTTGCATTTAATTCACTTTTTCTGAGTGGATCCACTCCATATTTTTAGCTCTTTTGAAATAACGGAATAAATTATTACCATTTTAATTCATGTAGCCATTTTAGTCGGTTAGTTGTTGACCTTGAAGCTGTAAGGATCTCCTGAGAAGTCGTACTCCTCAGAAGTGCTACTCTACCCCAAATGACACCGTTGCCAAAGCAAGGGGGTCTTACCAGGTGCTAAAAATGCTTTCTTAGACCATGATTTCCAAAGGAGAATGAATCTATCAACCTTATTTTTTTTTTCAAAAGACATACTTCATTTTTCATATGTGTATACTTAGTGAAAGAAACAAAATCACTCACCTACTCCTCAAACTTAATCCAACTGAATGCAGTGGAGTTGGACTTCTATCATTACAAGTTAAAAATGGAACCCATACATCATGCAAGACAGTATCTATTGTCCTTTATTCTTTCTTTATAGCAATTCCTCAGTGCCAATGTCCCTCACTGTCAGTATTGTCAACTGCCTCTTCCTCTCACAAAGAGAGATTCAGAAATTGAGAGGAGAAAGCACTCCCCAAATGGTATGTGCGTGTTTCTGTTGTTCTATTAGTCTGAGTATTCGTTTGATCCCAGACTGAATTCTGCACATCCTTAATTTCAAACATATCCTCCGTGAAATCAGAGAAACTATTTGCATTCCTAACTATGCCC